TTGAGATAGAGTCTCACACTGTCCCCAGGCTGGAGTGCAGTGGCACAATCTCAGCTCGGACTCCCTGCTTCAAGTGATTCCCCAGCCTCAGGCTCTCAAGTAGCTGGGATTACAGGCAGGTGCCACCAAACCCAGCTAATTTTGTGTATTTTATAGAGACAGAGTTTCACCATGTTGGCCAGGATGGCCTCAACCTCCTGACCTTGTGATCCACCGGCCTTGGCCTCCCAAAGTACAGGGATTATAGGCATGAGCCAACTCGCCCGGTGATAAAAAGCCTTTTAATAAACCCAAAGGATAGATGCATCCTTCTCACAAATTCAGCATCTTTAAAAAGGGAGGGGGAAAAGCAGATCATAGAAACAGGGTAGGTAAGGCCGGGTGTGGTGATTCATGCCTATAATCCCAGCACTTTGGGAGGCAGAGGAGGGTGGATCACCTGAGGTCAGGAGGTGGAGACCAGACCGGTCAACATGGTGAAACCCTGTCTCTACAAAAATACAAAAAATTAGCTAGGCATAGTGGGAGGTGCTTGTAACCCCAGCTACTTGGGAGGCTGAGGCAGGAGAATCACTTGAACTTGGGAGGCAGAAGTTGTAGTGAGCTGAGATCATGCCATTGCACTCCAGCAAGAGTGAAAAGAAGAAAGAGAGAGAGAGAGAGAGACAGAGAGAGAGAGAAAGGGAGGGAAGGAGGAAGAAAGAAAAGAGAGAGAGAAGGAAAGAAAGAAAAAGAAAGAAGGAAAGAAAGAAGGAAGGAAGGAAGGAAAAAGAAAAGAAAGAAAGAGAAAGAAGGAAAGAAAAAAGAAAGAAAGAAAGAGGCTGGGTGAGGCCAGCCTGGGCAACATGGTGAGACTGTCTCTCTACAAAAATACAAAAATTAGTAGGGTGTGGTGGTGCACACCTAGAGTCCCAGCTACTCAGGTGGCTGAGCTGGGCTAAACTTCAAAGGCAACAGTTGCAGTGAGCAGAGATTGTGCTACTGCATTCCAGCCTGGGTAATAGAGACTCTGGAAAGAAAAAGAGAGAGAGAGAGAGAGAGAGAGAGAGAGAGAGAGAGAGAGAGAGAAAGAAAGAAAGAGAGAGAGAGAGAGAGCAAGGGGGGGGAGGGAGGGAGGGAAAAAAAGACAGACATTTAACTTAGAAAAACCAAGAGTCTATAATATTTTTTAAAAGTACAAAAAACTTCATTTAATCACTGAGGCAGCTATTAAAGCAACACCTTATTTTGAAAACTGGTAACTAGATATAAAGAAAGTAAGCACTCCTCTTTCCTTTCCTGTAAAATTTGCCTTTGAGAATACCCAGATGGCTTCAGTTGATGAACGAAGACCCTACTTTACAGAAGAATGTCAATTATAATGCAGGAGTAAGAAAATTAGAAACTGGCCATTCTGCAACTCTAATGAAATTATTAGGTCTGGAAATGATTAGCTTAATGGTTGGTGAGATAATGGTTCCAACACAACTGTCCAATGAAAAGCATGTCATCACCTTAACCCAGTGGTCATCCTTAGCATTAGTAATGGTGGTTCAACCAACTGTCATGTGTGTCCTGATACGAGGCATTATGAGGCACATGACAGTAACCACAATGTGCTCTGACAACAAAATGTTTAACTCAATCAATCAAGCCATTATATTTAAATTCCAATGTTCAGGAAACGAAAAGGAAAGAAACACTGAGAAGGAAGAAGGCAGGTATATCCAGAAAGTGAGACATTCTGCATGTTAACCAGCCAAATGTCTTCAATTAAGTCAGTTTTAAAGGTGCAGGTGAAGAAGGTATGGCTGAAGGAATGCATTATATTTTAAGTGACTTGGAGAAATAATCAGATGCAATGTGTGATCTAGACTGGATCCTCAATTGAATCTAATCAGTTATATAAAGAACATTTTCAAACTGGGTATAGGATAAAGGAACATTTACTGATACAGGAAGGTATACATTATACGCTAAAAAACAGATTATAAAACAACATATACAGAATGAGTTTATTTTGGTATATATGTGCAAAGAATAATTTCTGAAGGAATACTGTGGCAGACACTACTAATGTTCACCAATACCCATTTTGCTTCCCCTTCCAAGCATACAAAGGGTTGTACTTTTCTGGCCATGCAATCAGACAGGATAAATACGTTGTAAGTAGAAGAAACCTATGGCAACTTCTGCTGAAATATTCTTTCCTTGCTATAGAAATCATAGAGGAAGGCTCAATTAAAATACAGTCAACAGGACAGGATCAAAGTAACCACCACATGGAGGTTCACTGTGCCAAAGAGTTACCCAAACTCACTGTCAATTTTGCATGAGCAAGAAATAAAACTGTTTTGTTTGGTCACTGAGATTTTTATTTTTATTTTTATTCTTTTGTTTTTTGAGATAGAGTTTTGTTCTTGTTGCCCAGGCTGGGAGTGCAATGGTGTGATCTCAGCTCACCACAACTTACAACTCCCGGGTTCAAGCAATTCTCCTGCCTCAGCCTCCTGAGTAGCTGGGATTACAGGCACGCACCACTACACTGGCTAATTCTGCATTTTTAGTAGAGATGAGGTTTCTCCATATTGGTCAGGCTGGTCTCAAACTCCTGACCCAAGTGATCCTCCCACCTTGGCCTCCCAAAGAGCTGGGGTTACAGGTATGACCTACAGTGCCCTGCCAAGTCGCTGAGATTTTGGTGTTGTTTGCTATTAGAGCTTAAGGCAGGGCAGCTTAATCTGATGAATGCGAATAAACTCTAATACATTACAGTGTTAAGTAATCTGAGGCTGGTAAATATACATTATTTTAATTTTCTTATCTTCTCTTTCTTCTAATTCCCTACAAAGCTTTGTGCTGCCTTCTTTCTCAATAGTCAAAGTTCTTCTGTTTAATTTAAAAATATAATAAAGGAGATCACCTTCATCACAAACAATAAAAAAATTATCAAAGACAATTCCCTAAATGTGGCTGTCATAAATGTAGCACACAAAATAACTCATTTTTTTTTTTTTCAGGGCATTAGGTATCAGACATAATTCCCTATATTTAGCTAGCATAAATATGGTAGACACATAAAAAAGTAAAATTCATACAGATGTTTTATAACAATTCTATCATTTTTAAAAAGCTCAAGTCTTGATAACAAAAAGTTTAGCTGGAAAAGTTCACACGAGAATATACATGCTGACATGTCTTACACAATTTGTCCAGTTCACTGGTTTTTAGATGATTATTTAAGGGAAGGGAGACAAATTTTTTCAGACTACCTAGACTTTTATTCATAATTGATCTGAATATACATTCCTGTATCACATTTTTTCATAGTATTGAAAGGTCCTTAGATTTGGGATCCGTAATTCCAGATAAAAGAGTCCTCAGAGTTTCAATTAGCAAAACTATTAATAATAAACTACAACTCAAAACTACTCAGAAATCCATCAGTAGTATAACTGGCCTTGTAAGAGAAGTCGAAGGGAGCCTCCTTGCCCCTTCTGCCATGTAAGCAGGCCATGAGAAGCCGCTGTCTAGGGGGAACGGAACTCTCACCGGACATCAAATTGCTGGTGCCTTGATTTTGGACTGTCTAGCCTCCAGAACTATGAGCAATAACATTCTGTTGTTTATTGCTTACACTCATTACTGGAGATAGTAAAAAAAGAAAGAGAAAAAAAAGTTCTGTTTTTTATTACCGAGTCTAAGGTATTTTATTATGACAGCCCAAATGGACTAAGCCCGTATGTAATTCTATTTAAGATCTTTGCTCTCGGTATATCACTGAAATGTGAAATATACTTAAAAGCATATGTATATTTGAGAACCTTTTCTTTAAGTAAGAGAGTATACAAATATAAAATATAATCCCAAATTTTAGGACCATAAAATACTGAAGCTTACCTATAATAATGTATGTGTTATACGATACACAATTAAGAATGGGTACATTACTCAAAGACAATTATTCAGCAAGGTAATTGTTAAAAAGTAGAATAAATGTGATCTAAGTTAAAACAATTTTCTGAATGGCAAGTTAAAAATAAGCACTAATAGGGCCGGGCGCGGTGGCTCAAGCCTGTAATCCCAGCACTTTGGGAGGCCGAGGCGGGTGGATCACGAGGTCAGGAGATCAAGACCATCCTGGTCAACATGGTGAAACCCCGTCTCTACTAAAAATACAAAAAAATTAGCTGGGCATGGTGGCGCGTGCGTGTAATCCCAGCTACTCAGGAGGCTGAGGCAGGAGAATTGCCCGAACCCAGGAGGCGGAAGTTGCAGTGAGCCGAGATCGCGCCATTGCACTCCAGCCTGGGTAACAAGAGCGAAACTCCGTCTCAAAAAAAAAAAAGCACTAATAGATTTCTAATGAAATGTAAGCAATATCTGTCATTACGATATTTTCAAATTTTTCACTGATTATGATAATCTTAATATAGATGTAAAGAGACTCAATCACATTAGTCATATTCTATAACACTTCTGAAAACAGTCCATTTAAATGGGTCTCAATTATTTTCAATATTTTTGAACTGAAAAAAAAAAGAGGCAAAGCAAAGCTCATTGTTTTCCTTAATATGATTACCAATTCAATCATCAGTAAGATAATTAAAATTTTTAGACTTTCAAATATGAAAGGACCATGAAATAAAAACAACAGCCTTACATATGAATTATGTCTCCTATCTTAAAAGAGTAGTTACATAGTATACATATTTACATATTTACATTACATACTGAAGAAAAATCTGGCAGCTGTTAGGCAATTCAACTAATATACTGATTATTTTATATTTTATAAATGTTTAATTTCAAAGTATACACACTGGTGCTAACAAAATAAAATGAAGTGATTAGCATAATGTATATCACAAAATAAATGGGGTACTGAATATACATCACATGTATAATAAAAACCATAAAATTCAAATAGAAAAATGAAAGGCTTTGCCTTCTCCATTTCAGAAGATTCTTTTAGGATTTTTATTTCAAGACAAAACTAGAATAAATAAATTAGAAATTACCTTGACAGCCACTCCTTTTCCTTCTGGAAATTCTAGAAGATGAAAAGTCAGTTCTTCAACCCTAGTAATGCAGAGCTTTGGGTCAGTTGTTCTTCTTAATGCCTGAACTAACGCCCGGGTCCTATTATCAATACTCACCCTTGCAATAATCTACAAAGACATAGTAAACATATATGATTAGAATACAAAACTGCTCTAAAGAACAATTAAAGTTTCTTAGGTTTCATTAGGAAATGAAACTTCTAAATTTGACAAAAAGCAAAAGAACCTAAAACCACACTGAACAACTTGCCTTTTCTCGCTGAAGAGATAAACGCTTTTTCTCCTCTGCATTTCTGTCTTTGCTGACAGCCTGATCAGTTTTAGCAGGCTCTTCTTGTTCTTCTGACTGACTCTTTGAATCATACTTTAATTTGGGGACAAGTCCACCAATATAACCTCCTACTAAAGCTTGTACACCTTCCGTGGGACGAGAAAGAAAGTTAGCAATACTTTGTTTAGTTGAAACTGGAAGAACATCAGGTATCGCACCAGGACTCACAGGCTTGTCCACAGTATCTAAAGATTCTGAGCCTGGCTTATCAGCCAGGATGGCAGGATCTGGAGAACTTACTTTCCTCTCTTCAACTTTTTTATCTTCAAGTTCTGATTCATCCTGGAAATGTTTATTTTCCTTTTCTTGAGACATGTTTTCTTTATGTTTGAAATATGAATTAATATGATTTGACAAAAAGTAGAATGACTCTCCAAATTTTGTGGTTATAGTATTTGTGTAATGAAAAAGACTGTGTTTACCTGTATCTTCTTTGTCTATAATGTGACTTTTCTCTTCTGAAAAAGGACTCTTTTCTACTGATTTGTCACTATATTTTTTCAGAGATTTGATGGCTTGTTTAATGTTTTCCTGTTTTAACCAGCCACTATCTGATACTTTTCTTAAAATTCGAGAACTTGGCTTAAATTGAACTAAACGTGAAATCATTTCATTTTGATTGCCAAAAACAGCCTTGGAAACAGAGTTCAAAGTACTTTTAATACGGGACATACGAATGTTCACTTTTGTAAGTCCCTTGGGAGCAGACGTGCTAAGTTTCAGAATTCCAATATGTAAACCATGGTTGCTTGGCGAGTAACAGTGCTTACTGCAAGAATGTGCTTCACTTTTGGTCCATTTACATCTCACTTTGTTTGTATGAAAACCTCTTTGTAGACTGATGTGACTTATCCTCCAGTAATGCTTAGGTGAGAACAAGAAATGCAGCTGCTTGCTTCTCTGCTTCCCACAAAGGCTTCTTGCATTACTAAGGAGGTAAATATATATATCTACAGTCAGATAAACAGACATAACTTAAAAATCGTTTATTTTCTATATGCCATTCTCTCACTTCATTCTTGAATGCTTCATTTAAGAAATGCCACAATTCATGGTCTTACCTGAAATAGCAAGAAAAAAAAATTAGAACTCATATTAAAAATTGAAATTGGGTATAACAGAAAATACAAGACTATTTGGACTAAACTCAGCAAGCTGTCTCAAAGAAAGCAGATAAAACATTTCCATTATGGCTGATAGAAATTTCATATTTAAGCTAATAGAAAATAATTTGCTTTCAGTATAGAGGTAAATAAAAAAAAGAAAATGAGAAATAGAATATTTAGGGAAAGAACTAATTTAGGGAAGTTTCCCAATAGATAAGTTTTCTTACAACAAATAATTTAATATGCAATTTAGATACTATGCTTTTTTCCCACCTTACTTATTGCTAAATTCTGAATTACTTTATGTGACACTAGACTTCAGGTCTTTGAAGAAAAAGGTCAGGTCTTTTTTTTTTTTTTTTTTTTTTTTGAGAGGGAGTTTCGCTCTCGTTACCCAGGCTGGAGTGCAATGGCACGATCTTGGCTCACCGCAACCTCTGCCTCCTGGGCTCAGGCAATTCTCCTGCCTCAGCCTCCTAAGTAGCTGGGATTACAGGCACACGCCACCACGCCCAGCTAGTTTTTTGTATTTTTAGTAGAGACGGGGTTTCACTATGTTGACCAAGATGATCTCTTGACCTCGTGATCCACCCGCCTCGGCCTCCCAAAGTGCTGGGATTACAGGCTTGAGCCACCGCGCCCGGCCTCAAGGTCAGGTCTTATACATCATTCATTGCAAACCATTTACAGAATACTTAATCTATACCAGACATGGTGCTAATGCTAGAGCCACAAAGTTACAGGATACGAAAGAACGTCCAGCCTGGTGATAGCTATGTGAAAAAGATTTCACTACCTAAGTAATACGTGCTCATTAAATCAAGTAACTCAGGCTAGAGGAAACTACAGCAACTAATATAGAAGGGGTTCTGGCCAGGCACAGAAGCTCATGCCTGTAATCCCAGCACTCTGGGAGGCCAAGGTGAACAGATCACCCAAGGGTAGGAGTTTGAGACCAGCCTGACCAACATGGAGAAACCCCGTCTCTACCAAAAATACAAAATTAGCTGGGCATGGTGGCACATGCCTGTAATTCCAGTTATTCAGGAGGGTGAGGCAGGAGAATCACTTGAGCCCAGCAGGTGGAGGTTACAGTGAGCTGAGACCATGCCACTGCACTCCAGCCTGGGCAACAAGAGAAAACTCTGACTGGAAAAAAAAAAAAAAAAGAAGGGGTTCTTAAACACTATATAAAAATAAGAAAAGGATAATCCAATTTTAAAATGTGACAGTGAAAGAAAAGACAAACAGATCAATAGAACAGAAGAGAGAGTCCAGAAACAGACCCAATTAAATGCAGTTATCTTAGACAAAAGGGCAAAGGTAATACAATGTAGCAAAAATAGTTTTCTCAAAAAATGGTGCTGGGACAACTGGACATCCACATGAAAGAAATTAATCTAGACACAGACTTTACATCTATCCAAAAAAAAAAAAAAAAAAAACTCAAGACAGATTACTGATCTAAATGTAAAATGCAAATGTATAAAACTAGAATATAGCCGGGCGCGGTGGCTCAAGCCTGTAATCCCAGCACTTTGGGAGGCCGAGGCGGGTGGATCACAAGGTCAAGGGATCGAGACCATCCTGGTCAACATGGTGAAACCCCGTCTCTACTAAAAATACAAAAAATTAGCTGGGGATGGTGGCGTGTGCCTGTAATCCCAGCTACTCAGGAGGCTGAGGCAGGAGAATTGCCTGAACCCAGGAGGCAGAGGTTGCGGTGAGCCAAGATCGCGCCATTGCACTCCAGCCTGGGTAACAAGAGCGAAAACTCCGTCTCAAAAAAAAAAAAAAAATCTAGACTATAACATAGGAGAAAACTTAGATGACCTTAGGAATGGCAATGACTTTGAGACAATATAAAACACACAATCCACGAAAGAAAAAAATGGATAAAGTGGACTTCATTAATATTAAAAAATTCTGCTCTGTGAAGGTCAATGACAAGAGAACAAGACAACAAGGCAGAGATTGGGAGAAAATATTTGCAACAGACATATCTGATAAAGTGCTTCATTCATAATATTTAAAGAACTCTTAAAGCTCAATAATAAGAAAACAAACTCAATTAAAAATGTGCAAGACTGTAACAGACACCTCATCAAAGGAGATATATGGACAGCAAATAAAGATATGAGAAGTTGTACCATATCATATGTCATCAGGAAAATGCAAACTAAAATAACCATGATACTACTACACACCTATTAGAATGGCCAGAATTCAGAACACTAAATGCTGGCAAGGACGTAAAGTAAAAGGAACTCTCACTGGTTGCTGAAGAAACACAAAATGGAACAGCCATTCTGAAAGATAGTTTGGCAGTTTCTTACAACATCAAATATACTCTTAACATATGACCCAGCAGTGGTACTCCTTGATATTTACCCAAAGGACTTGAAGACTTATGTCCATAATAAAATCTGCACATGGATGTTTATAAAAGCCTAATTCATAACTGCCAAAATTTCAAAACAACCAAGATATATTTTAGTAGGTGAATGGATAAACTGTGGTACATCAATATATGGTATGTGTGTGGTACAGACAGACAATAGAAAATTGTTCAGTGCTACAAAGACATGAGCTACCAGGCCATAAAAAGACCCGGAGAAACCTGAAATCCTTATCACTAAGTGAAAACAGCCAATCTGAAAAGGCTACATATTGTGTCTTAGCCTGTTCAGGCTCCTACACACAACAAAATCCCATAAACTGGGGAGTTTACATATATATGTAACATGGGGTGTGTGTATGTGTGTGTGTATGTGTGTGTGTGTGTGTGTGTGTGTGTGTGTTTTATAGACATGGTCACACTCTGTTACACAGGCTGGAATGCCGTGGCATGATCATAGCTCACTGCCACCTCAAACTTCTGGGTTCACACAATCCACCTGCCTCAGCCTCCCAAGTAGCTGGGACTACAGGTATACATGCCTGGCTTGGGTAGCTTATAAACAATAGAAATTTATTTCTCACAGTTCGGGAGACTGGGAAGTCCAAGATCAGTATTAGCAGATTTGGTATCTGCTAAAGGCCCACTTCCTGGTTCACAGATGGCTGCCTTCTTACTGTGTCCTCACATGGTAGAAGGGAATAACTAGCTCTCTGTGGTGTCTTTTAGAAGGGCACTAATCCCATTCATAAGGGCTATACTCTCATGACCTACCTCTCAATACCATCACCTTCACAGTTATGATTTCCACATGAGCTTTGACAAACACAAATATTCAGACCACAGAAGTATGATTCTAGCTGTGTAATATTCTAGAAAGGCAAAACTATGAAGACAGAAAAAATCAGTGCTTACCAAAAACAGAGGGTAGAAGGAATAAATAGGTAGGGCATAGAGAATTTTTAGGGCAGTAAAAATACTCTGTAGAGTATTATAATGATGGATATATATAATTATACATTTGTTCAAACCCACATAATGTACACCACCAGGAATGAACCCAAATGTACACTATGAACTTGATTGTGTGTGAATGTAGGCTCATCAATTATAACAACTCTACCACTCTGGTGGGCGATGTTGATAATGGAGGTGGCTATGCATGTGTAGGGGTAGGTGGTATATGGAAATGTCCATACCTTCCTCTCAATTTTCCAATGAACCTAAAAACTGTTCTAAAAAAAGTCTTAAAAAAAAATCTGCAGTTCTATATATGCCATACACACATAAACACACATACACACATATTAAAAAATAAAAAAATTAAAATCTACATATACAGTTGAAATCTTATGGACGCACATAAATATACACTAATTGATTCTTAAAGGGTAAAACCTGTTTATTCTTAAGAACTAAGATATGGGACCAAAAGAGAACGAGGAGAATGGTTTTTACTTTTCTACTGTCTGAATTATTTATAATGAGGTTTTATTTTGTAATTAGAAAAAGCAAAATATTTAAAGCACTGTAACAGAAGGTACCATGTGAATGAAAGACAAAGTGAGACAAAATCCAGAGAAGTTAAAAAAAAAAAAAAAAGAGCCGGGCGCGGTGGCTCAAGCCTGTAATCCCAGCACTTTGGGAGGCCGAGGCGGGCGGATCACAAGGTCAAGAGATCGAGACCATCCTGGTCAACATGGTGAAACCCCGTCTCTACTAAAAATACAAAAAATTAGCTGGGCATGGTGGCGCGTGCCTATAATCCCAGCTACTCGGGAGGCTGAGGCAGGAGAATTGCCTGAACCCAGGGGGCAGAGATTGCGGTGAGCTGAGGTCGCGCCATTGCACTCCAGCCTGGGTAACAAAAGCAAAACTCCGTCTCACAAAAAAAAAAGAAAAAAAGAAAAGAAACAAAGGAAAAAAAAAGATTAAAAACTGGGTAAAGTTAAAAAGGAATTCATCATGTGCAAAGATGAGAAGGAAAAGAGAGAATTTCAAATAATGGCAAACAAAACAAACACAGCCAGGAGTCTGAGACCAGGCCAGGTAAATGGTAAAACTTTTGTCTCTAAAAAAGAAAAAACAAATTAGCTGGGCATGGTGGTGCATGCCTGTAGTCCTAGCTACACAGGAGGATTACTTGAGCCCAGGAGTCTGAGGCTGCAGTGAGCCACAGAGACCCCATCTCTAAAACAAAACCACACACACGCACACACACAAGCAAACACAAAAAAGCATGTAAGAAAGCACAAATAGCGTATGCAGAGATTCCATGTAGTCTAGCTTTACTGCAGGACCTAGAGAGATTGAGAGAGACGTAGACGATGCTGAGAAAGATGGAACCGAGAACCTAGTCCAATTGTCCAAAAGATAACAGCCTCAACTAAAATCCTTCCTTCTAAATTGCACGTGCAAATTTAGTAAAGCCTGTCTTGTCTTCCAGGCTGAAGGAGCCCAGGGAATTCTATCCCAAAGTATGGCTCCCTGGTATAAGTATTTTGAATTAAAGGCCCATCAGAGATCAACAGATGCTAGAAGAGATGTTCCCCTATCT